TAATGCAGCTGTTCTGGAGACCTGAGCCCCAGGGCAGCCCCTGAAGTGGCGGAGGACAACACTCAGGAGAGGCCCTGCCTGGCCAGCCACACTCACCCCTTCATGGCTCCTTCATTCCTTTTCCCATGCGCCTCACTCATTGCTCATGGAAGGCCCAGCCCTGGCAGGGCCTGCTGCCCTGGGGCTTTCCCCAGGGAGCATGGTGTTCCTGAAGCCAGGCCTAACAGCAGCTGGAGCTACACATGCAAGGGGGATTCTGGCTTCCGTCCTGTTTTCCACCGTGCCGTCAGCTCCTGCATCTCCATGCTCTACTCTGCCCAGGGTGGCTGCATCCACTCTGGATCAAGTGCCTGACTATAAGGCTACACTCTGATGCAGCAAACTGGGATCTAAGCTACCTCCACCTGCCATAGGTGTGCACCTGGCATCTTGGTGGGCAAATTATTTGTAGTTTTTCACTCTGGCTTCCTCACATGAGAGATGGAGTTAGTGCCACTCACCTGTCAGGTTTGCTGAGCAGCTCTGATGGGAATAACATGACAGGACACCTGGAACACAGCAGGGGACTTCACTGACTTGGGAAACAGCGCAATTACAAGGAGAGTTGATGCTGTGTGAAAAACTCCTCACTCACGCCCAAGAAGGGTCATCGGAAAGTTTATGGAAAACACTTGTTAAGGAAGAAGCATGCATGGATTTAAAAATATTTTTTGCACCAAAATAAGCTTCTCTTGAAATTTCTATTCATTTCAGAGGCAGAGAGACACAGAAACAGATCTTCCATCTGCTCGTTCGCTCCCTAAATGCCCACGAAGGCTGGGCTGAGTGTCCGGGACTCGAGTACTTACGCTCTTCCTCCCTGCTGCCTCTCAGAGTCGATCAGTAGGAAGCTGGAACAGGGGTGCAGCCAGGACTTGAATTCAAGCAATTCAATATGGGATGTGTATGTCCTAAACACCTGTGTACCCCAAATTTTTATTTTGTTAGCAATTTGAAAAAACTACTTGTATTTGAAAGGCAGAGTTACCCACACATGCATGCAGAGGAGATGCTGCTTCCCAAGGTGCATTGTCAGGGAGCTGGATCAGAGGCAGGGCCTTTGGGGTTCTAACTGGTGACCACGATGGGGGCAGCTTTACCTGCCATGCTCCAGTGCCGGCCCCTTAGGATCCTCCCAGGGTTCAGGCAGCAGTTCTTGTCCCCGCCACTGGCACTCAGCAAACACTCAGCCCTTCAGGTCTACAGCTCTTAGCTCAATGCACTGCTCATTTGCATAAGTCCCTTCTCCTGCTGGGGCCCCTGACTTCACTTCTGAAGTGGCCTCCTCCTCTGCTTATTTGCAGTGTCTCACAGAGCTGGGATGTATGGCCATAGTTGGCCAGCAGGGGTCCCTAGCCCACCTGCATCCTGTGGGGTTACTGAGGACAGAACTCTCCCCCTTAGCAGTTTCCTGGGGTTTCTTAGCAGTTGCTGCTAACAGCTGCTTAACACAAGGTCCTTTCAGACACCAAAGGGAAACTGCATGTAACAGGTGACTGCTCCAAAGCCTGTGGCCACACGACATTCCACATCAACCAGGGACCTTCTGCAGACCACAGATTTCCTGTTTCAGGACTCTGTGGGCTGTTTTCCCTGGAAGCAAACATTATCACCTCAGAGAGGGCAGAGGCCAAGGCAAGTTCAAATAGATCCCAAAACAAGGAATTTTCAGGAGAGTCAGTCAGATAGGGATAAAGACAAGATGAGAGGATCCTATCGTGCCACGGACTGAATCCTGAGTGACACCAACATACCCCCATGGGTCTCAGAGCTCACACACTGTGCACTGTCACCCTGCACTGGGGCAGGTGCTGCTGTCCCCATCTTAGCATCGAGAGAAGCAAGGCTGGGGGAGCAGACCCAGTACTGTTCACTCTACCTCCCCTGTCGTAGGCCTGAGAGTTTGCCCACTGGGAGAGGGCCTATGGCAGCCATCTCCGCCCCCGTGAGGTGGCTGTTTTCTCTGGGCCTCAAATTGTAAGAAACATCAGGGTACAATGGATCCGGAGGTGAAGCTTTGGGGTCACACAGACCCGAGTTCTCGTTCAGCTGTGTGACCTTAGGCAAGCTGTATCACTTCTCTGGGCCTGTAGAGCAAGTGAGTAAAACAACAAACTTGGTGGAGTGCCCATTCTACAGAGCTGTGATAGCTGAAAGACACTGAAAGCCTTTTTTTAAAAAAAATTTAAATATTTGAAATGTGGAGAAACGGGGGAGGGTCGGGAGGAAAGGAGAAGAGATAGATATGGGAAGGGGGAGAGATGGAAGAAGTGGACAGATGAAAGGAGGCAGAGAGTCTTCCATCCACTTACTCGCCTAAAGGCCAGGGCTAGGTCAGGTTAAGCCAGGAGCCAGGAACTCTGTCTGGGTCTCCCACATGGGTGGAAGGGGCTCAGATGCTTGAGCCATCTTTGCTTCTTTTTCAAGCCTGTTAGCAGAACTGGATCAGAAGCAGAGCCACTTGAGTTCAAACTGGCACTCTGATGCAGGATGCTAACAATACAGGGGGCAACTTAACTCACTGTGCCACAGGCCAGCAGTAGCCTAGTTATTAAGGTCCTCACCTTGAACACGCCGGGATCCCATATGGGTACCAGTTCTAATCCCAGTAGTCCCACTTTCCATCCAGCTGCCTGCCTGTGGCCTGGGAAAGCAGCTGAGGATGGCCCAAACCCCTGGGACCCTGTACCCATGTAGGAGACCCAGAAAAGGCTCCAGGCTCCTGGCTTCGGATTGGCTCAACTCCGACCATGGCGGCAGCTGCTTGGGGAGTGAATCATCGGACAGAAGATCTTCCTCTCTGTCTCTCTTCTTTGTATATCTGCCTTTCCAATAAAAATAAAATAAATCTTTAAAAAAGAAACAAAAAAATTGCATATTTTCTAAAACTTTTTCAGGATCTTCTCATGTGCAATAAGTTCAAAATTGTTTTGCATGAAAATCAATCTATATTTTACTTGAGTTTTCCATGAACTGTCTTAAGTGCCCCCAGTACCAGGCCATGGGGACTTTGTGCGCCAACTGCATGGATGGTGAGGACAGAAGGAGACTGGGCTGGGGCAACATTGCTGTCTTTACTTTGTTGTCACTTGCACTTCACCACCACACCTGGGGCTGAACTGGCTTTGCAGCCACAGCTTGAAGCTAATACGACGCACAGACAAAAAGCCAGCCTGCTAGGCACGACCACAGCATCATCACTGGCTCATTCCTTTAAAAAATGGGTCGGCTGGCAACCCAACGCCCTTTGTCCTTAGGAAAAATGCCCATTATGCAAAACAGTACAACCTTTTTTCGTTTTTTAATAATGCTGTAAATATTTCAGAAAGGATGTATTGTTTCTAATGAATATCAAAAAAGTCATCGTGATGACGAGTTCCTCTCCCCCCCACCCCCCATATGACCCTCCCCGCCCCCAAAGTTGCCCAGATCCTAGTAGGAAATTACAAAACCCCTGGGTGCAGTGCTCCGCCCTCTACCCGCCCCGGGAGTAGTGTTAAGTGCATCAAGGGTTAAATGTCACGGCCCTGAGGACAGCCCGTCCGCCAGGGAGCTGGAGGTGGAGATGATCCTGTAGCAGCAGCAGTGGTGGAATGATGGGATGTGTCCTTCCCGGCACCTACCATGAAGACAGCAAGTCCAGGTCGCCAGAGGAGGATGTTGGCAAGTCCCCAAGGTGCCAAGCAGCCTTGGACTGCGTGTGTGCCAGGGTCCAGTCTGGGCACCCTGGCTTTACCAGGAGCATGAGGCATCACTCATAGCAAAGGGGCCGGGGCAGGGGAGCTGGAGCCTGGGAACTCTTGGGCGAGTCAAACACAAGGGTTTCCTATCTTGGTTTGGGGAAAGCTCCTGTTTCCATACAATAAAATGGGGACCCCAAGAAAAGGGAGGAACGATGCACCCCACTCCTCTGAACAGCTCAGAAGCCATGGTGGAGGCTTGATACAAAACCCAATGAGAAAGGAATATGAGATATCAGGGGGAGAAGGCCAAAGTCAGGCTCAGGGGGACAGTGCCAGCCAGCTTTCTTGCAAACCCTGGGCTCCCACTCATCTAGGGAGCAGCCCCTGTCTGAGACAGGTGCAGCAGCTCCAAAGGACCGGGAAGAAGTGCTCAAGGGACAGACTGAGAAGGAGCAGGGAGGGTAGGGACATAAGAGGAAGAAAAGGGAATCAGGCCGGAGGAGGTCCTGAGAGAGAAGTCAGGGCCCTGGCCAATGGAGGCCAGCTGAAGGAAGACCCTCAGATGCTACAGGTAAGCTGCAAGGAGCAACCCCACCCAGCCCACAGGGTCAAAGATGGCTTGGGAGGTCAGGGGGCAGAGGGCTGGCAGAGGGCCCTGGCATGGTGAGGACCGGCTGCCTCCCAAGCACTGGCATCCCTCCCCTACCCCTTGCCCTTGTAAAAAATGAACTTGGCTTTCAACAAGCATGGACCGGCAGAGGTAGCTGCCACAGGTCTGTAGAAGAAACCAAGATGAGGGGTGGTTCTGCCAATCAGCTGGCCTGGTAGCATTTCTCTGTCATGCAGACTTCTTGTCTGTACACCCAGCAGCCCCTGGGCAGGCAGGCAGGATGGTGGACATGGCAGCTGGGAGTTGGAAGGTGGGAAGGCCAGTTTGAAGGTGCCCAAGGGGGACAGGGGACAGGTGTGACTCCCTGGCTACCAGCCCATGGCCCGAGTATCCAAGTTGACAGCATGATACTCAGCTTCCTAATGCCTAGAGAACAGGGGTTAAAGCAGGACTGCGAGGCCCTGCCTGTCACTGTACAGGATTATCTCATGGTGGCGGATACTTCCGGGGTTGGCGGGCGGGTCTATGGCAGAGTGTATGGTGGCCAGCTGTGAACTACCTTGTTAATATATCCTGTGCACACGAGCAAGGCCCTACCACTAGGAGAAGCACGCGTGTCAGGGGTTCATGTACGCACATGGGGAAGGAGCGAGAGGGGGTACACGGCCTGGCTGTGCCTCAGAAGTGCGTCTCCTTCTCTGTGATGGTGGTGATGGAACCGATGGAGCCGTCGCCTTTGAGCTTAGCATCACAGTCATTAACCATCACCGTCCGTGGGCCTGAGCCAAGCTTGCCTCGCATCTTCAGGTCAGCGCTGGGGACCGTCAGCTTTTGCAGTTTCTGGATGGGGTGGAGTAGAACAGCTGCCTGAGACGGGTAGCCTTGGCCTCTGCTCCCTCCTCCCTGGTGGACCCCTTGGAACCCCAGGTCAGGGCCCAGCCCACTGACCACTTACAAAGGTACTTGGAAAAGTAAAAGGAAAACCGAATTTATGGGATGCTTATTTGGGGGCAGGATATTTAAAAATCCATGTACATCTGAGGGATCTTCACGGAAAATACATCCTGTGGAAAAGCTACATGTGGATTTCCAAATTTTTACACTGAAATAAATGTGTCCTTACGTTCCATTTTCTGTGAGTTTTCTAAAAATCCTACTTTATTAGCTAATTAACTTGAAAGATTTCAGAGAGAGCGCTCTCACCCAGTGATTCGCTCCTTCAAGGGCCACACAGCTGGGATTGAGCCGGGGATGCCACCAAAGTTCCCCATGTGAGGGCAGGGATCTCAATACTCGAGTCATTACCGCTGTTTACAAAGGGTCTGCATTAGTGAGGAGCTAAACCGCGAGTGAGTGCTGGGCACTGAACCCCAGGACTCTCAGGACCCAGGCATCTTAACTGCTGGGCCAAACACCTGCTCCTCTATGAGCCTCCTGAAGTCCCCTCGTAGCACTGTTCCTGACGATACAGTGACCTTCCCTTTGGAAATGGGGAATACAGAGCTTCCAGCCACAGTGTCAGGAAGCGGCAGGAGAGGGGCAGAAATGAGGCCAGATCTCGGCCGCACTGGTGTGCTGCTCCAGCTTCCCTGCCGACAGGTTGTTCTTCCTTTGGGTTCCTGCCCCACCCAGCAGGCCGACCCTAGTGTGTCTAGGGAGGAGTAGGTGCCTCGTAGCCAGGCTCCTGATGCAGGTCAGGGCTTAGCGCGTGGGCTTCCGAGTCAGGTGTCTGCCTCTGCATCCCAGCTCCACCACTAAACTCACGCCAGAAACCTAAGCTCTCGTGCCTCAGCTTCCCACTTGTGAAGGTGGACAGCGGTGTCAGCAGCCCCCAAGGGCTGGCCTGTGTTCAGTACTGACGTGGTGCCTTCGGTCAGGGTAGTCCCAGCACAGAGCTGAGCTCCTGGCCAGCGACTGGCCTCTCCAGAGGCCTCTTGTCCTCAGCAGCATCCCTGCGGGGGCTGAGGCCCACCATGATGAATCCACGACTGTGAGCACCCGCAGGAACCGGGGTCTGGAACTGGGTCACGTAAGGAAGAAGTGACTCAAACCCCATGGCAGATGGGGAAGGGGTGCAGAGAGGCTGAGTATGGCAGGGAGCGGGGTGGAGCTTGTGTTAACACCCAATGTGCCACTGAGCTGCCCGGTCCATGGATAAGCCCAGCACACAGACTCCAGGGGCACAGCAGTCAGGGTGAGTGGCTGACCCCTGGCTACCCTCTGGTCCATGCCTCTGAGTGCTCTTCCTGGACCCTCGTGGAGCTCCCATGGCTTATCCCACTTATTAATGGCTGTTCTCCCATTTCACAGACAGGGAAACGGAGGTTCAGCTCACAGAGCCCCTATAGTAATGAGGTTTGCCCACTGGAGAGCGACCAGGGTATGTTTCCATTGTGTCCATATATAGTGGATGAGGAAGCTGAGGCCCAAAGAGGGTCAGGACCTGGTCCCTGCTCACCAGCTCACCCTGGTGGTCTCACCTCTGGCAGCGAGCCCTCCGTGTTCCACACCTTGATGAAGATCCAGAACGGGATGCACAGCATGGAGGACAGGGCCATGAGCCAGCCGATGCCGTAGCCCCAGGCCGGGTAGGTGTACACATTGTTGTACTTGAGCGGCTTGTACTTGACCAGGAAGAAGATGAAGATGCCCTGTGGAGCAACAGAACAGGTGTCCAGGACACAGCTCTCAGCCCCGCAGAGTCAGGCTGGCCCAGTACCCGCTGTTAGGGCAGCCGTGATTGGGGCAGAACATCCCAGAAGCCAGGGGCTTCCTGCAGCCTCCCCTCTCCCCACCAGGCACCTTCATCGTGCAGCCTCGTCGAGGTCTGACCCAGCTATGGTAGCCTGTGACCCTTGCTCTGCCAAGACAGGCGTTGGAGGGGACAGGCTGAGCTTCCCAAAACCTCCCACTTGCATAGGGTCCTCCGGGTCTGATGTCAGGGTCAAAGGGAGGCCCGAGGGAACCCTGGCTCTGCTGCCTGCATTGCCAACAAAGAAGCATGTCCCATCCACACAACCCTTGGCCCCGGACAGAAGCTGAGGCCTGGGGAAGAAAGACACGCATCTGTGACCACCCAGCAAACAGGCAGCAGGGTGGAGGGATCCTGGGAGGCCTCATCAAGCCTGGAGCCCCAGTGAGATCCCAGCTTCCTAAGCCAGCCTAGGCTGGGGATGACTCCCAAGTAGGTCCTTACCGCACAGATTCCAGGGGTCACAATCTTCCAGCACCACTTAATGAGTGAAATTGGTCGATAGCCAATCATGTCTTCGATGTTGTCGTAGAACTGATTGCTTCCTGTTGGAAACAACGCAATCACCATCTTCCTGTCGGAGACTTCCACAGGAAACATGGGAAGTGTTTGCCTTCCCCTCCCTGGGATGAAGCACTTGCTAAGAGGATCAGACTTGACCTGTGTGAGATCTACTCTCAGGGGAAGGTGCTCTCCCGCCCAGGGCCAGCCGGGGCCGGGGATCCACTGGAGATTCTGCAGCAAGGCTGGCGTGCTAACTCATGGGGCCGGGGTCCTGGCAAACGCCTCTATGGTGAGCCTCATCTATTGGATGACCATGAGCAGCGGTCAGTTAAGGGTCAGACCCCATGCTGGCCACTTTGTTTCCTTCCAGGAGCCTCAGTGGACACTTCTCCATTACCCAGTGGCTCGCCAGGAACGGGGCTGACCCAAGGTCACAGCACCAGAGTCCCGAAGCCCTCTCTGACATCTGACAGCAGTGCGGGAGTGCGGTAGGCAGTCCTTGACGGGAAGAGGAATAAACGGACACAGACAAGGGTCGGGACCCACCCAGGTGCTGGGCACAGAGCTGGCACCTGGGGGTGATGGCTCAGCTGCCACTCACCATACACCCAGCCAATGCAGACGCACTCGAAGATGGCCACGAAGAGAAGGCACATCCCACTGGCAGCGTAGGAGTCAAACAGCTGGAAGACGTACATACCGCCCTGTGGGACAAGGGGAGAGTGACCACACAGGGTCAGCCAGCTGGGCTCGGCAGGGCCCCTGCGCTCTACCCCCGGGAACCCCTGCTGCCACACAGCAGCCTGGCTCCGGACACCCCGACACCGACACTGTCACGGTTCTCTTCCCTTTCCCCCTCCTGTTCTGGCTCCCCCAGGGTCACAAATGCCACAGAAAATGAGAGCCCTGAGGGTGGGCGGCCTCAGCCCCCATTTGTCCCTGGCTGGGCCATCCTTCCTGCCTCCAGGCTTGGGGAAGCTGGCTTCTTTCTGAACATGCGTGTTCAGTCAGGGCCCTCTGCAGTTCAGCTCCCACGCAAGTCCACGGCCTTCGTCCCCGACCACCCACCCGCCAGCACTCCTGGATGGACAAGGAACTGTGTCCTCTGACCCTTTGTACAGACAGTTCAACCCCCACATTTACCATTTCCAAATCCCAACTCTCCTTTGAACTCCGGGCCTCAACACTCAATTGTCCTTGGAAGACAACTCGCCATGAGACATGACTAAGCCATCTTGCTGACATTTAAAGTGTATGAGGTGCAGGGTCCCAAGGCTTTGGGCCATCCTTGACTGCTTTCCCAGGCCACAAGCAGGGAGCTGGATGGAAAGCGGGGCCGCCAGGACATGAACCGGCGCCTAGATGGGATCCTAGCACGTGCAAGGCAAGGACTTTAGCCACTAGTTTATCACACCAGGCCCACAATGAGATTCTTTATGGCACAGCAACGGCATGGAGAAAGAGAAAGGGTGGAGTGGGCACAGGTGAGGAGGTCTGAGTCCAGAACAGCCTCCTGAAACCCCTGTGAACACCTCCTCCATGCTCCCAGAGTCCCCCGGTGCCTCCTGTCACACACCATCTCTGGGGATAGTTTGTTTTGTTACTCAACTAGATCAGGTAAAGGGGCAGAAGCAGGATACAGGGAACAAAGTGGGCCAGTGTGACACACTGCGAGAGCAGGGAGTGGTGCGGGTTGCAGCCAGTGGGAAGTCTAAGGCCCACACCACAGATGCAGGCAGGGTTGGGAGACCTGGGTACCCCTGTCACCATAGCCCTGGGCTTGGTTTTCTGAGTTTAAACCCAAGATCCTCCTTGCCAATTGTTCTCTTGTCATGACCATCACAGGCTAAAGAAAGAATAAAGACAAGCCCAGGGCTGTTTTCACTGTCCCAGCTGTCAGCCCTGCAGGTCCTCACAGGGTATCACAAGGCAGGTGCCAGGGACATGGGGAAACCGAGGTGAAGCCACTCCTGTGCTGTCTAAGGTTGCTCCCGAGAGCCCAACTTTAATCCTGTAGAATGAGGGTGGATGCCCTACAGCAGTGACTGGAGCATCTGAGCTTCCCCAGGCACCTGCTCCTGGGTGTTCCCCTGGGGAGGCGGGACGAGGTTGGCAGGGGAAGCCCAGAGTCTGCTGACTCCTGGTCTCTGTGGCCGGAGGTGGGAGAGGACCATCCCAGGCCTCTGGCAGAGGGGGCAGGACAGTGGGAACTCTGAGCCTGGCCCCCCCCCCCGGGAAGTCCCAGATGCTCCAACCAGCACTTGCTGTTTCCATCCCTGCTAGGCTTTCGTGTGTGACGACAGCCCTCAATTTGAAGGTGACACAAGCCTCTGCGTGGGAATCAGTGTGCTTCCCGTGGTCCTGCTGCTGCAGCTCTGGTCCCAGCTCCCCTGCCTGGAGAAGTGGGCTGACAATCAGGAAATGCTGCCCCATTTGCTCGGATGATCACTCTCATTAGTGTGACAATGACTGGGAGCAGGGGCAATGTCATCCTGGGGCGAGTTGGCTGGGAGGACACAAAAGGACAGCTCCTGTCTTCTCAACTTTGACATCTAATAGGTGGGAGAGGATGAAGTGGGACAAGGATGAAGCTGAGCACAAGGTCCTGGGGGAGTGGCGAGGGGTGGGGGTGTGAGAGAGAAGGGGGAGGCAAACAGAGGGGATTCCCAGAGGAAGTGGAGGCCAAGGCAGCTTCAGCCCAGGTGGGTTCCAGGCTACCTCCCTGTCTGTCAGCTGTCTCCATTGATTCCCGTCTGTATTACAAACCTGCTCCCTGTCCCCAGGCAAGGATTTTTCTTTGTAAATGATTTGATTCGGGGTGGGAGAGGAGAAAGCTGCCTGGTCCCGGCTCTCCCAGACCCCTGAGAGAGCACCTGCTCAGATGCAGGAGACGTGAGTGCAGTTTTGGGAGACTCTCCCTGCAGGAGTCGTGGGGAACATCCCCTCACACCCCACCTGCCTGCAGGGATAGGAGGCCAGGACACACTGAGGCTCAGGGGCCACCCTCCAGGGCACCGCAGAGGAGCCCGCTCAGAGCTGGACACCAACAGCAGGAAGCCAGCCGGGCGCACCTGGGGTTGGGCTGACGGGGGCGCCCAGCATCTACTCCAGCATTACTCCAGGCTCAGAGCAGCACGCTCTGCTCCGGGGCGAAGCAGAGACTAACACAAACCATTTTGCCTTTTTGAAAATAAACACTTAAGAAAAATTAAATTTATTTTAGACAAATGGAAGGATGGAGACAAACAGAGGTCTTCTTGCCAAATGACCACAACAGCACAGGCTGGGCCAGACCAAAACCAGGAGCCAGAAACTCAATCCGGGCCTCCCACCTGTGTGGCAGGGAACCAACGACTTGCGTTACCAACTGCTGCCTCCAGGGTACGCGTTAGCAGGAAGGTGGGGTCAGGAACGAGCCAAGATGCACACCCAGGCACTGCAGCGTGGCAGGAGAGTAACACCCCAAGTGACATCTTCAGCACTGCTGGGTTACATGCCACTTCCTCAGCCCAGGGAGAACTCTTGTTTGGTTCTCACAGTGGCCATCAGGGAGAGGAGAGCCCAAGGTGTCCAGGGCCTGCTGGCTTCGGAGCTGGGGTCCGTGTCAAACCCTCCCTGGTGCTCTGTACCACTCACCTCTGTTAGCATCACGAGGCCCAGAAAGTAGGAGACGATTGACAGGGCCAGGATAAGCAGCTCACGCCGATAGCCCCTCCGAAAGACCTTGGGGTACATGTCCACCACAGCGGTCACCAGGCTTTCCACGCACACAAACTGTGGGGGGATGGATTAGGGCAGGAGGTCAGATGCAAGCAATAGACAGCTGTACATGTTTGCAGGGCCCAGTCCAGCTGTGCAGGCTGTGATGGCTCAAGTGGGACCCCTGAGCATCTAAACAGTGAATGCTGAGCTGACGGCCAAGAATGCATTGTCCATCTAGCTCCTACCCACCCATCAACACTCAACCCAAACAGCCCCAAGCCCCAGGCACCCCCTCCTCTGGGTTCTCACCTCCTGTCCCTCTCCTCCACGCCGTAAGGACACCCCTCACCCGGGGAGCCTGGCTTGCTAGAATAGTACAATCAACTAGGAGCATGAACAGAAACCCACAGCATGGGTTAGGTGGCAGGTTCTGCTGTGAGGGATGACCACGTGCTAATTCGTCCAGCCTCTGCATGGTGAACTCGGTTCCACTGTGCATGTGATGACACTCAGGTGGAGAGTGGCCGCCTTGCTCAAGGCCACAAGTAGCAGATGGCAGAGTCTGATCTGGCTCCAGGCAGAGTTACTGCAGAGACTGAGCTCTGACCACGACACAATACTGCCTCAAGGGAGAGAGGTCAGAGGAGACAGGACTCTGGCTGGGCACTGTGCTGGCAGGCTGCCCTACCCAGAAAACCCTTTCGGTTCTCTAACTCCTCGGGAAAGACAGCGCCATCCTCGCTGGACAGACGAAAGGAAACAGAGCAGAGACAGGTGACGTGACTGCCCCAAAGTCTACCAAGAGCACACAGCACAGCAACCCAGACTGCCCTGCCCATCTGTTCTCCAGGCTGCCCAGGGTAAGGGAGCTGGTTGCTGCAGAGATGGGGCAGGCTGGCCAAGATTGGCCTCGCTGTGCACCAGTGAGTCAGCCTCTCAGAGCCACAGTCTCTACAGAAGTGGGACAACAGAAGGATTCCCCCGGGCCTTGTGGTTACTCTGATGATGGACTGAGACTGCACCCAGGCACACAGCGAGTGCAGCAGGCATGGGGGTGGGCAATGCAGCCATGTGCTAGATCTCTGCCCCGCTCTCGTGCCAGCCAGCCCTCAGTCCAGGGACTTGCAGAGGCTCCCTGCTCCCAGGCCAGCCTGCCTCTGCCAGGCACGAGCTGCTGATCCTTTAAAGTCTCTGCCTGCAACAATGGAAGGGCAGATTATCAGCAGAAGCAGCTGGTGATGAGCAGCTCAGCTTAGCAGATTCTGGGAAATAGCTCAAGAGGAGAAACTAGATGAGGATGGGCTGACAGACAAGCCAGCGCGTGGCTCCAGGCATTAAGTAAAATCACCCAAGGTCATGGGTGGCATTAGCAGGTTCCAGGCTTGTGCAGGCACTATCCTGAACAGGCTCAGCCATCTCTGCCTCAGCTATGAGGCACAGGGGCCTGCTTCCTTCCCCTGGACCACCCCCAGAACTGGATACCCCCTTCCCCCCAGGGCATCTTGACTTCCTAAGAAGGCTCAGGCTGAGGCATAGTCGCTGGGGTGGCTATAAGAAGCTCTCTGGGTCTCCAAGGTGAGTTGGGCCAAGGCAGGATCTGAGACACAAAAGGAGAGCTAGAGTGCAGAGACAAAAGGCAGAGGAGGGCTGGAAAACCACCGCTCGCTCATTCGTTCTGGGGCTGCACAGGGACGGCAGCTGCCCCGTGCAAGGAGGGCGATAAGCACAAAGGCAGGGGTGGGTGTGGGGAGCAGAGCAGGGGGAGCCTGGTCCCCATGGCGGTAAGGTCAGCCCTGAGTTAGGAAGTTTCTCTTCCAGTCCTGTGTCCTGAGCAGTGTGTGGGGGACCAGGACCTGCACGCTGTGGGCCTCAGCCTTTCCCTGGACCTTTCTGCGCTTGGCCAGGCAGTACTGCTTGGTAGTAGTTGGGCAGCAGAGACAAAGTCCCAGGCACAGCTGTTGAAACTTGAACAGAGGGACTGGAAACTCCTGTTGGGGGGCGAGGAACAGAAGTTTGGAAAGGCATGAAGGAACCCAAGCAGACACAGGATGGGCAAGGCCCTGAGTGAGAGGGGTCCCTCCAAAGACAGCATCTGCCTCCTCAACCTCCTCTGGGAAGAACCCCCCCAACCCTGGCCCCCAGTCTCTTACCTGGCTGTCCAGGCCCAGGAAGATGAGCATCATGAAGAATAAGGCGGCCCACAGTGGGGAGAGGGGCATCATGGTGACGGCCTTGGGGTAGGCGATGAAGGCCAGGCCGGGGCCTGCGGGGAAGCAGACGCTGCTGGGTGCTGCCAGTGCCGGGTCCCAGCATTTACCCAGCACTTCCTGTGTGCCAGGTGCTGTGCCTGATACACTCTCACATCACTGAATACTCCTGGGAACCTGGGGCACTTGGCACTGTTCTGATGCCCACTTTGCAAATGAGTCAGTGGCGGCATAGAGCAGTGGAGCAGGGAACCCAGGTTCCACTGTACGCCTAAGCCTCAGGGGAACAACACCCACGGGGACACCTTGATAGTCGGTTTTTACTTTTAGAGGCAGCTTTGGCAAAGGATAACTGGCACACAGCCAACACCTGTTTTAAGAGTACACTTGGCGAATTTTGAGAATGCATGTGTACCCACTCACCACTGCTGTCAACCCAGGGGACATATCCACTGTCCCCTTGGCTGCCTGCTGTCCACACCTCCACCCTGGGCAGCCACTGATGGGGCTCTATTGACCTTGGATCAACTTTGCTCATCATCCAGGACTGGAAAAATGTGTCAGAAGACCACCATGCATTGACGATTCTAAGGCCAGACTGATTTTCAGAACTGTGCCCTTCCACAGCTCCGCCAGCTCTGAGGTTGCCAATGGCTCCAGACCCTGGCCAACATCTCAGCTCTTTAAATGATGTCAAGACATTAAACCATCACCATTTTAATCTGCGTTCCCTGGTGATTAATTCAGTATCTTCATACTTAATGTCCATTCATCTGTGTGTGTGTGGAGGAAGAGGGGAGAGGGAGGGTGACAGAAGAGAGAGCCTCTGCTGATGGCTTAGACTGAGGCCACGAGGCAGGCACTCAATCCAGATTTCCCAAGTTGGTGGAAGAACCTCAACTATTTAAGCTGTCACGTCTGCCTCCCAGGTGTGCCCTGAGCCAGACACCTACCCCAGTCCTTTCATTTCCTTACTGGTGTCTTGTGAAGGACAGAAAAACTTCTCCAACTGCTTGCTGCCAGTCTACATAGAACACACTTGTGCTTCTCAGCTTTTTATCCGATGGCCTTACTAGGTTTCCTTAAATTTTTTAGGTTCCTTGGAATTTTCTATTTAATCATATTGTTAGAAAGACAGTTTTTGTTCTTTTCAATCCTGAATTTCTTCATTCACTCATGTTTGGCCTTGCTGCGCTATCTGGGAACTCCAGGATCAAATGAACTAGAAACAGAAACAGGGCATGTTCCTGCTTTGTTTCTGACTTTTGGGAAACACAGTGAATGCTTAATAACTGGGAAATTAACACTGATTTAACTCCAGATCTCATTCACACTTTTCCCATCTCCCTCCACTTGTTCACTTCCGGCTCTGATAGACAATTTAGGAGTCCACACTGCATTGAGTGCGTGCGTGTCTGTATTCTCCAATCTGTGATCATCTGTCCAGGATCTTCCATGAACTTGACATGTGTGAATAAGTTCCGGTCATCTTTCTGCAGGATCTCTTTTTAGCTGGGTCTGTCTCATGTTTTCTTCTCCTGGGACCAAGGTCATGCATTTTGGGGGCATGAAAGCCGCAGAAGGGATGCCACGTCCTGCTCGGTGTAGCACTTGTCAGGCAGTCTCATCCCTGAGGATGCTTCTCTGGCACGCCGAGTCCAGCAGGTGGCTGCCAGCCCTCTTCACTGTGAAGCCACTGCTTTTCCCTTTGTCGCTATCAGGTATCTTGGCGGGGAGTGGGGAGGGAGGGGGAGTATTCTGAGATGATGAAAATATCTCCATTCTCTTCAAACTTTCACCCACTGAATGTTGCACCCAGCTTGTACCTACGCCGATTGCTGTCTGCCTGACGATGAGCTGGAGTTTCCTGCATCTCTCCCACAGTTACTGATGAAAACTATTCTGTAAGGGTAGCTGTACACTTCGGCTTGTCAGTTGTTCACTTGTATCAGTAAGACTCTTGGTGTTCTGCTTAGGTCACAAGGCAACATCAACATTATCGGTTTTGTTGGTAAAATAGCTCTAACAGTGGCTGTGTGTGTACGCGACGTGTCTCCATTTTTCTCCATGTCTTTCTCTTTCATTTTTCTCTTTGTGGTTACCCCCGACCCCCGCAAACATCCCAGCTACATGGGTACCATCCTAGCACCAAAATCAGCTACTTCTCCAAGGACTTCTGGTTTCTTCCTTGGGAGAAGGGTGTTGGAAACCAAGATGCAAGAGCTGGGTGTGCTCACAACACAGGGTGTCAGCACCCAAAGCCAGGACACCCACGCACATATTTCTGTATCTTGGTCTGTACGTGTGTTGAAACTATAAGCACTGATATACCGTTAACCCCAGTTGTAATAAAGTACATTCTACTGTTTCCATTCACTTTACTCATCCCTTTTCAGACACATGAAAAACTGCTCTACATCTGCCCACTTGTTCTATCCTAAAAACCAGACAGCAGCTACGGAATTGCTATGCCTGGCCCTAATTGCTATACTAACAGCAGTACGGTGCAGTTATTTCTGTCCTTAGCCTTTCTAAAGGTTACTGGTGGCAGCTTCCTCCTGCAGTTCCTCCAGTGTGATCACATTATCCACCAGTCATGCATGCGGTTGGGACTGCTTGTTACTGCTTGTACTCCACGTGGGGTTCCGCTCAGAAAAGGGGAGGCCAGTGACACATAAATAACCAAGATGGACTGGAGAACTATTGCTCTGGGCCCAAGCCAGCTCAGCTACTCCTTCCTATGCCTCCCTCTTCCCCGTCTTCTCCAACTGCTGTGGGGGGGTAGGGGTGGGGACACCATTCTTTTTGTTTCTACTTCATCCTTTTCTTATTTACCTTAGTATCATCTTCTTTCTCATACGATCAGTAGAATAATAAAGATATTTGATTTTTAAAAATCTTTGTATACTCATACCCCATTAAAAAATGTCCTTGAATTTCTACTTCATTTTTTAAAAGCTGTTAATTGATCGTAAGTGCTGTTGAAGACTTCTGCAGAACCCTTGGTGTGTGTGTGTGGTGTAATCTTAACGATGTTTGGGCTGAATCTATGAATGAGGAGCATGACACTGATGTATTTCCCAGCACCAAGCTCCCCCGACCCAGAGCATCCCTTCTGGGGTAACTCTTTCCCAGCCACGTGTGTGACCTTCTTCCTATGTGTCTGCATTCTGTTTGTTGATTGTCTACTTAGTGTCTGTGCTTCGGGGTGCAGGAGTGACGCTGGCCTACGGTATATACGCCTTTACCCTGGTGTATCTGTTTCAGGCATGAACGCTGTGCTTCCTGAAGGCAGTTAGGGGCTCTCTCTCCTGCTCAGCACTTCAGGATGGCTCACTGAGCTCAGGGACAATGTGCCTGCTGGAGGCGACACAGAGCCAGCCTTGGAGACACTCGGTGCTTTCCGTGGGCTGGGCCCTGAGGAACTCTGTTCCTTCATGCCCTCAGGAGTATTACAGCCTTCCAAATCAAATCAAGCAGTCCTAACGCCACACCTCTCTAGAAAAATATTCATCTCCCCTAAGTTTTCAAATGGATGTGTCTAGAACACTGTTTAAGTGCCTTGGGATTTAAACAAAAGTCTTCCACTCCCCTTTTCATATCTTCCTTATTTAGTTAAATTCTTGATCATCTAATAGCGTGTCTATTTTAGTTTAAAACAGGATTTAAATTTGTTAATGATTTTTTTTTACTATTATAAAGTGTTCCTCTTCATTCCAAGTACACTCTTTGATTTAAATTTTACTTGCCTAAAACTAATACAGCTAGCAACACCAGTTTTCTTATTCTCAGTGCTTGCATGGTCCCATATTTTCCTTTTCTTCTATACTTTATCATTCTCTACCTTTAAACATAGAGTATTTTCTTTACACATCTTATGGTTAGGTCCTTCTCTTAAAACCCAGTCTGGGCATCTTGCCTCTTAACTGGCATATTTGCCCTATTTCCACTTCATATAATGTTTGAAATGGCAGAGTTTAAATATACTATTTTGGGTTTGTTTTCTTGCTTTTTGTTTCGTTTAACTCTCTTATGGGGCCCGGCGCGGTGGCGCAAGTGGTTAAGTCCTCGCCTAGCACGCCCGGGATCCCATATGGGCGCCGGTTCTAATCCCGGCAGCCCCGCTTCCCTTCCAGCTCCCTGCCTGTGGCCCGGGAAAGCAGTCGAGGACGGCCCAAAGCTTTGGGAACCTGCACCCGCGTGGGAGACCCGGAAGAGGCTCCTGGCTTCGGATCGGCATAGTATCGGCCCGTTGCGCTCACTTGGGGAGTGAATCATCGGACGGAAGATCTTCCTCTCTGTCTCTCCTCTCTGTATATCCGCCTTTCCAATAAAAAATAATAAAAATAAATCTTTAAAAAAAAAAAACTCTCTTATGGCTTCCCTGCTTTCTTCTAGGGTAATAAATAATTTATAAGTAATTTAATTTTACCTACTGGCTTTTGAATTTTACTTCTCTTTGTCACTGACTAAGCAGTTGAGGCAGCATATGCATACATCTATAACCTAGGAACATTTGCTGAGATTAAAAAATACATCACTCTAAACTTGGACCACATTCCGCTGACATCTGCATTGATAAAGGCTTCAGGAATTGCCCACATCAGTCACTGTGAAATGCAAACAGACAAAACATTCTAATTAAAAGGCAGAGATCATCAGACTGGATAAAAGAGAAAGACTCAATTACAAGCTATTCCACTTCCCTACCCTGACAGAGAACACCATGATTGTAATGAGTATTGAGGGACACATAGAAGATGGTTGGCAATTCTTGGGCTTAATGCGAGAGCCCAACCAGCAGTACCTTCTGTATCCTGAGCCTAGTTTCCAGGGTTTGCTGGGAAGCACCAGGTCCTTCTGAAGAAGGTGGAATGGCTATTCGGTAAGATGTAATCTGGATTTTTTTCTAAATGGCAAGGATCCCTAAATGGGTCTTGGTACATTCCACAGGACAGAGATGCCTTCCCCTCTGGGCACCGGGAGTGACACAGAAAGATGAGGCAGAAGAAGCCAGATCCTGACTGTATCACCAATGGCTGCACATCCACCCTTCTGAGCAGCAGGTCTTCATCGTCCATGGGCATAGCACACCCAGGGCTGATGTGTGGTGGGCAACTGCTGCAGCCACACAGGGCACCGTGTGCACGGCCATGAGAACTCTGCCTGTGTAATACCAGGGAAGATGAGATTCAATTTAGACCATAACATGTGTAGCTACAACCCACACATGAAAAATCCTGGCAGGATAATCCCAATGGACGGCATGGAATTTGGCTGGACTTTGTTCTAGTTTGGTATTTCTGCTTTTTTCTAACACGAATATATCTCCAATTCAAAGTAAAATCAATAAAACAAGACTGCCTTTTGGGACATTTGTCCTTTCCATGTAGGACTCCTCTCTGAGGTTTACATGTAAGATGAAAATTACAATAACAAGATAGGGCTGAAGATATCTTGGCTGTGCCCACCCTAAAGGTGGGAGTTAGGGTGTCCATTTCACAGAAGAAGAATGATTCTCCAAGCCAGGTAAGGCAGCCCTAGAGAAGGTACTTGTCCCTCCTTCTAAGACTGCAGGCATGATCTGTGAAGGGCCACTTGCTCCGGTCATGGCGGGCAGACAGATGCTTTGGTCAGCACAGGGGTGTGACAGCCAGTTTGCCTGGATTAAATCCCAGCTCTATCACATCCAGCCCAGGGGACTCTGGAAAAGTGACCTCACTCTTCCAGGTCTGTTTTTATCCTTGGTAAAATGGAGGTAGCAATTGTGCCCATTCTGAGGACTCAGCTGAGGACCACATGAGGTCAGGTGTGACGGCTCCTGACTAGAGCAGGCACTGGACTCTCAAGTGTCTTGCCACACTGCTCTCTTTGGGTCCAGCTCGGGTCCTGAGGGATCCAGGGCCCAGGAACCAACACCCTCCTCCTAACATCTCCTCATGGCCTGCCACATGTGACAGCCACACTCAGGCCAGTGCTGGCCAGGGCTGGCCTGAGTGTGACTGACATGGAGCAGGTGGGGACCAGGATGTGTGGTGTTGTGATGGGATGTAGCCATTGTCGTATTCCATCTGCCTGTCAGGTTAATTGAGAGTGGACAGGGACGGAAAAAGAGTTTACGCACCCCACCCTTCCTAACCCCTCTAGCACTATTCAAGTTAATTAAGTCTCGAAAAGTACGTCTCGCCCCTCTTGCCCTCCGCACCATTCAGAATAACTGACAGCGTGGAAATCACTCCGGAGGCTCCACGCACCTGGTCCCTCCTACTTGCTACTGTACTAGATTAGGGTAACTATAGGAAAACTTTGGGCTCTGGTAACTCCTGTCTTGCCTGCTGCACATGGAAGTTTTGTTTGTACTACGTGGCTCTAATCTGATAGGAGCAGAGCTTAAAAGCCCCTGACTGTGGCGACTAGACCCAGTGGCTCCTGGAGTGTAGCAGGAGCTGCTGTCACCAAGCTTGGGAAATAAAGACTCCTCCTAACATCCTACAATTAGGCCCAGTATGATCTCACACACGACAGCTCCCTGGCCTTCCCTTTACCAACTTCCCACTAGGCAACCTTGTGGGGGAAAACAGATTCACACACACTTGGCTTAGATCCTAAAGATCACACAAACATCAACCACTCTAGCAACCTTCTCATATGTGGCAAATCTGCCCAGGATCCCGGCACCACAAAAATCAAGGGAAGGAGTTCCCCCATTACACAAATCCATCAGCAAGGGTTGACGCTGCCCAGGAGGGGGTGACACAAACACACGATGTAGATTTAGAGTGGGGCATGTGGGGTTCCAAGCAGTGGGCCTAGCACACTCAAAGGCTCTGTGGTAGCCAGGAGTGAGTCATGTCACACAGGGGAGGGTGCCTGCTGTGGCTGCAAGAGCTGAGCAAGCCAGGGCCTTGGGGCTCTGCACCGTAAGAAAACAAGGAAGTAGCATCACTAGAGATGGACACACTCAGATCTGCAGGGTGAGAAAACCACCCTGCAGAGGAGCGGGGGAGGAGTATAGCAGGTAAGAGTGGCAGCAAGGGTTCCACCGCCATTCTGGTCAGCGGCAATGACAGTCCTCCGGGCTGCTGGGGGGGCAGTGGACCCCATGGTAAGACATTAGGAAGCAGGCCCTCCAAAATGTGGGGCACTTAGGACCTGAGAGAGAGTGATGTCAAGTGGGGCACTCCGAGCCCTGAACCCGGCAAAGGAGCCTGAGTGGAGAGCAGATCCATACTGCAGCCCCCAGCTCCTGCGGGTGTACCTCCTCTGGCAAACTCACCTGACTCGGCCACCTCGGCGATGGGGACGCCCTGCTCGAATGCCATGAAGCCCAGGACGGAAAAGATGGCAAAGCCGGCCACAAAGCTGGTGCCACTGTTCAGACAACAGAGCATGATGCAGTCCCTGGGGGAGGCAGCGGGAGGAGAGGAGTCAGAGCAGGCAGGGCAGGCTCCATGCAGCTTGGCCTGAGTGTGCCAGGGCTGGGCACTGGGGGATGGGATCACGGCAGCCTGGAGGTCAGAATCAGCTCTCAGTCTCCCACCTTCAGAAGACAGAGCAGGTGACAGACCAAAGGCATGGAGAAGGAGAGAGAAGGAGCGAGGCAGGAACACGAGAAAACGCAATGAAGACAAAACTGCACTGTCCCAAACCTCTCGGGGGTGGCTCGGGGGAAGCCCAAGGGGTGGACTTCTCAGGAGGTCAGAGCAAAGCACCCAAGGGAGGTGCTTTGAACCTCACACCCTGGCCATGCCACCCACAGTTGCCCGCTCTGTTCTGTGAGTGTGCAGCCCCTTCACCTCGCAGGGAAAAGTGGGAGCCATGATTGCCCCTGCTCCGGGAGACTCGTCAGCACGGAGCCACAGCCCAAGGAAGCCCAGACCACACAGGACAGAACCTTGTCAGGACCGAGAAGGGGGTGATCCATGTCCCAGCCCCACCTATCCTCACATTGCTGGGCAGAAACTCAGCTTCTAGAAGCTGTGTGGCTGTACCATGTGGACTCGTGCGTTATACACACGAGTGTCCACGCTGCCCTAGCTGCAAGGTGCCAGCAGAGCTTCCCCAGCCTTGTGCAAGGGGCAGGACAGCCTGGCCAGCCACCCTGCCAGTGATAGGCCAACCTCTCGACACATCTGGGAGAGGAGCATGCATGCCCTTGGTGGACGGCCAGCTCCCTCATCCTTGCCTGTAACATGTGACATACCCATCCTGGCCCATCCTTACAGCAGTCACCTGCAGGGCTGGAACTCAAGACTCAAGACTAGAGCAGGGCTCTCTCCTCTTCTCTCAAAGCCATACAATGTATAATGCAGCCAAAGCAGGTGGCCCCTGCTGGCTACCCTGCCATGATCCTGGGACAGTGGACGGAGCAGGAGATGGGCCTCAGCAACCCTCACTTGCTGCATCTTTCCGTTGGGCCTGAAGTCATGGCAGCAGGACACAGCCCTTGGCTAGCAGGAGTTCTGGGCCTGAGCTGATCAAATCCCTCTGCCATGTACTCTCCTCTCTTCCGCAGTCCAAGACTATCTGCCTCTGCTGACTTGGGCTTAGCATCCTGCTTGGCTTTGTACAATGCAGTGCTAGCAGCTGTTGCACGGCACAGGTCTCTCAGCCTGGACCCCACAATGTACACACAGGGAGTGCCTTGAGCCTGGTGCTGACCAGGGAGCGGCACCTGGCCCCTGCCAAGCTGGGTTGGCAGCTTCCTTGCTGAGAGGCAGCCCCAGCAGGCTGTCTGTCACGTGAGCTCTTCCATGACTACTGACGGCTGCTGCAGACCCCTTTCAAGCACCCTCCGGGTGCTGGGAATGTCGGTCAGACTGGAGACTGGGGGACCCTGTCTGTGGGCTTTATTTCTCGGACGGTGGTGTAAGGGGCTCACTCTGCATGCTGAAATTTGCTGGCCTCAGTTATTAGGGTCCAGCCATGTGCCAGGCATTTCAACGACCCCCCAAGAAGCTTGAGAATGCGAGTCGCACACCCAAGGCCTCACTGACAGATGCTGGCTGAAGCCAGGGATATAAATTAGAGCCCGAAGCCCATGCTCTGACCAGGTGAGTGTCCTGAGACCCGAGACTCCCAAATTCTGACTGTAGGGGCAATATCCACAGCCGTACAAACCCCCTTGTTCCACGGCAGCCTGCAGGCAGAGGGACACAGGTGTGCCCAGCCCTGTGACTTGGCTCTGCACCTAGGCGGGCACTGGTAGCAGGTCTTGTGGCGTGGGGATTTTCCCTGCCTGCCCCTCCAATCTGCCCCTTGATGGGTGCTGCACCATGCAACTGAGAGGTTCTGTGAGCAGAGCTTTGAGCCCAGCAGGAGCTGGCCAGGCGCGGCAGGCTCCACAAGCCGCTGAGCTGTCTGGAGGGAGCGTTAATTTACTCCCAGTAAAGACCCACCCGCAGGGAGCGCCTTTCCGGCCTGCGCTGTCTCCTAGGGGATCGGCTTTTTTCTGGCAATGGCAGGCAGCAATCAACTTCTGCTCTTGGACAGGGCAGCGGAAGGGATCCGAGGCGGTGGGCATCCATCACTCTCACGCTCTGTGTGGCGGAGGTGGCCCTGACACGGGCTGGCGACCAGGCCTCCTGGGTCGGATCCCCCTCCAACGCCCGTGGCTGGGAAGCAGACATTCCTGGCAGCAAGACAAAGGGTGCAGGAACCAGGGAGACGCAGGGAGAAAACCTGTCACCAGCAAAGCACGCGCACGCCAGGCCCTCTACCTCCCTCATCTGCACACGCGGTGCTTCCTTTTGTAGGGCCCTGAACAAGGAAGCCAGCACCATGGCAGGATGCGAGGAGGACAGGCTTTTCCTGTCTCAACTGTCCGGCGGAGGTGATACAGTGCTGAGAATCCACAGTGAATACCAGCTCCCTGTGCAGCGGCCATGAAGCTCACAACCAGAGGCCTGTGCTGGTCCCCTCCTGGAACCTTCCTCTTCCTGTGCTACAGCCAATAGTGCCCCTCCCCCACACCCAGACCCATTTTCTCTATGAGCCCATGAGGTGTAGACTCCCGGGGACCTGCAAGCATCCCCAACCTTCTCACAGACACTGGAACCCCCGGCGACACAAAGGATTCTGCAAGTTGTTCTCCCTCCTTCCTTCTCCCATCCCTTTTCTTCACTTATTTGAGAAACAGTGAAACAAAGATGCAAAGACAGCTTGTATCTGCTGGCTTGCTCCAAACTGTGCCACGCTGAAGCCAGGAGCTAGGAACTCAATCCAGACCTCCCACGTGGCTGGCAGGGACCCAACTACTTGAGCCATGGCCCCTAGGACCTGCGTTGGTAGGAGGCTAGATTTGGGATCAGGAGCTGGGAATTGAACCCAGACATCTTAAATGCAAGAACTGACATCCAGCCCGGGAAGGGGGCTTTAAGCAAAGGATTTCGAGACCACACACACATTCAGAGAAAACATCCAGACCTTCCAGCCCCACCCTGCACACTCAGCTCAGGGTGACATGTGTCACACTGATAAAAGAGCTACACACATTTGGAAAGGCAACTGCCCTAAGGCTAGGAATAAAAAAAACATTGATTTTAGAATGGAAGCAAATGCAGAAGACACCAACAGCAAAGATCAAGAATTCAGAAAGGGATCAAGAGAGAGGTTGGTTCATAGCAAGATGTGTAACTTCTAAGAGGTGAAAGAAAACCCTAGAATGCCACCCCTAAGAGCTACCTGAGGAGAGTGGCACTGGGGGAGGTGGGGTGAGGCAGGGGGAGGCACCCCGCTCCTATCCACCCCTCCAGGCAGCTTGGCAGTTTTGCCAGTTTGGTCTTTCACTCTGGGTGCACACTGCTCTGATGATTAAAATTCATGACGCCCCCCACCACCTTTCTCATTCAATCTGTCATTGGGGATATTTCCACTCTCATCATCCCATGGTCTCACTAAGACCCGACAAAACAGCCACTACTGTGTCCCAGACATGGAGCTCGAGAGTGACTCACAGACAGGACACTAACCCGGAGTCAGGGGCCAGCAGCACAGCTCAGCGTCGGCCTTGCCCACCATTGAGCCCATGACCTTGGACTGTCCCTTACCCATCCTGGAAGAGAACTGGGGCACATGGCGGCACTGAGGCCTGGAGGAGATCCTGTAGGAGGATTCCTTCACAGCCTGCAATGGGCCCCACCACATCTGCTGCTGCTCCCCCAGACCCACTGAGACCCCCTCTGGAAGCCTGAGGCGCACCTCCTCCTGGCACCAAGATGGGCAGATGCATGCAACAGAACCTGGCAGCATGGAGGAGGGCTCTTGAGGAGCGGAGGAGAGGGGCAACACTCACCTGTAGCAGTTGTTGTTGTAATTGTTGTAACTCCCCAGCGCCGTCAGACAGCCCAGGCAGATGGCATAGGAGAAGAAGATCTGCGTGCCAGCATCCACCCAGACCTGCAGGTGGCACAGAGGAGCTGGCATGAAGCGGTGTCACCCGTGTGCACATGTGTGTACGCATGTGTGTGTGTGTGTGCATGTTCATTCAACACCAAAGCCGGGATGTTTGGGACCTCAGCCTCAGCTGTGTTACCTTGGCAAACTGACTTAACCTCTCTGAGATCCCCCAAAGGATCCAGAAGGATATATGTAATAATGAGTGTGAGCCGCTGGGGTCCAGTGCAGGCTCCTGAGTCAAGTTTTACTCAAAACACTGGCTTCCTCATCCTGGTGAATACCATCCTGTGAAGGGTTGCTTGAGATTCGGTTGGTGCAGGCTTGGGGTTGGCCAACCTGGGCCTGCATGAGAGGAAGCAGGCAAGGAGGGGAGATGGGGGATGGGGGTGCTCGTTCTGCCTTCATCACCTTCCCAAACAGGTCCCCGTTAGGTTTCTACATGGTGCATATGGTGACTGGCTTTTGAACTGCCCAGTACCCTTCTGACACAAACTGCTGTAGACAGCATGACATGCGCAGTGGGAATCACAGTGGCTTTTCTAGCACTTTCCCCCAGGCTCTTGATGAACCCAGCTCTTGTAAGCAACCCATGAAAAATCCACAGCTGAAATCCAAATGCAGCTGACAAGACTCATGAGTGGGCATCCATGCCAACTAGAGATCAGGGCCTGGTCCTGAACACAAAACAGCTGGTGTTTGGTGAGCACTTGGTGTGTTCCAGGCTCCAAGCTGAGCCTCTGAGCACTCCCAGAAGAATGGTCTCTGCTTGATTACTGCTAGCAACGGGCAGTTCACTACCTTCCAGTATAGTCCCTTTCTCCTTCAGAGCATGTTTCTGAAAACAAAGTCTTCCAGTGCCCTAAACTCTGGGCTCACCCAGACCCCCATCCCTCTGCTCCTTGTGCCAGAATTGTAGAGAACTGAAGAAAGTGCTGGCGACTTCTGAGTCAAAGGCCTCCATTGTCTCTCTTGGGGATTTTTAGGCCAAGCAGAAGCAACTCCTGAAGGAGCTGAGTGCATCAAGGGGCAAGGAAACTTCCCAAGCCAGGAACACCTGGTGACCTTGGAGCATCAGACAGCAGAGTTCAGTGCTCTCTCTCCTTCCTGGCTGCCCCAGCCACAAACAACAGAAGAAAGCTTCACTAACCTCAAGGCTATCTTTGCTGAGGTCAAATAGACACTCATGCCATCTGTGCAGATCAATACCCGCCATGATGACACATTATAAATTCAAGCATGCGCAAACTGAGGAGTTGCCACCTACCCCATTCCCTATAGCCAACATGTATAAAAGCCCAGTGCTACATACCCTGGGTGGCCATTTCCCTCATGGGTCACCCTGCCATGTGAAAGTGGTCCCAGGCTATCTCCCATCAGAGAGTGGTCCATCAGACACACACACACTCTCTCTTTTCACCACCTTTCTCTCTGCTATTTCCTCCCCACATCTCCTGGGTGCAAACTCTCTGGCCTACTGTCTGTACTGGATCAATAAATTGGGTACCGGAACATCCCCCAATAAAGCTTGTTTAAAGCAGAAATCGATTTTGTATGGATTTCTGGTTCTGAACACGAACTCCAACCTTACAGGGATATGATACCAAGACAAAGGTCGGAGTTGCCCAAGTTTGCTTAGGCTGCCCGTGGACCTGAGACCTGCATGGCGTCTTTCCCTTCCCATACAGACTCACTAGGTTCAGAGTCTTGGTGCTAAATGAGGAGCCTGGACAGGGCTGGCTCAAGAGGCAGAGGAGTAGGCAGTGGCAGCAGATCACGGCAGGGCAAGGGGAAAAGCAAAGGGGACAAAAGGAAATCTTTAAGAAAAAATTGCTGAGAATTATTCTGATGACAATACATGTGATGCCCGCTCCCACACTTGTGGGAATACTTTATTAGTCAATCTAGAAAGGTTCATCAGAATAGTTCCTGGTTTCCTGCTCACAGCTGTTCACCTGTGATTTTCAGATTTGAACATTAGGTTGGATGTATCTAGGACCTTTCTTGTCTTCCCTGAGTATCTTGACTGCACCGTTTGGTGATCATTTGCTACAAAGTGCTGCTGTACAAACCTGTGCCACTTTTTAAAGCACTTGTTCTTTTCGACTCGACATCTCAGCTGGGTTGATTTTTCCTGGATCACAGTGTACTTCTTTAAGATGCAATGTACAAGTGTCCTTTTCATTTCAAGGAATTTCATTTCAATTATTGTTTTTAGTATCTTCCCTTCCTTGACCTCGGGCTTCTTGGGGACTTGTACATCTGTTGGATCATCTTGTGCTCTTTTAAAAACCTCTTTATTTTCTTCTTCTGAGTACCTTATGGCATTATCTGTGAGCTCTATTTACTGTTTTTTTCTTCTTTTTATATTTCCCTTCTTATCTGTGCTTCTCGTCAATGCTCTTTTCGAATCTTCTTTCTGTCTGCTGCTTCACATGGAGCTATTTGTGTCATGGCATTTGCTGGTTTCTTAATTTTTAAGGTTTACTTTGAAATATGAAGTGTTAGAGTCCCACTGCTTTGTGGAATGTATCCATTACCTACAGGAACGGTGTTCAAGCCCTTTCTCTTGAAAGAGCACCTGGCAGGACCCGACTACAGTCCTCTTCCACTGCCCACATGCAGGTGAGAGTTCTCCCTGCCCTCTCAAGAGGTGAGTATTCTCATGCAGAGGCTCGGGGTGGCAGACTCCCACTGGTTATTACCACACAGTGCTTTAAGCTCTGGCTGGGCAGACAGCACTTTCTTAAATCCCCATTGTCTTCTTCCTTCCTTCCCTCTTACACAATGTGTCTTAATTTCCCCTGGTTTCTCTGTCATGCTCAGTTCAGACTCTCCTCCAAGTGGGTCCCAAGGACCTCATCTCTACAGTGCCCTAGGTCCAGATCTCTTTCAAGTTCCGGCATCCTGCCCGCTCTCCTTCAGGGCCTGACACCTGCACGGATCCCTCTGTGTTTTGGCTAATGTTCTTAGAGGGGTCCTCCAACCACTCTTTCCTAAAAAGTCCTTTTCTAGTATACCTAAGAGCTTTCTGATCTTCCTGGGGCCTCAGCCTTCAAAGTTCCCTTTGCCTTCTTCCTCTCATCTCACAGCACTGATCATGTGTACCCTGTGGCTGCAGGCAGTTAGTGGTACCATTTGTGTTTCGTGGCTCGGAGTTGCTGAGGGTAAGCTGAAGGTGTCTGCCCCTTTTATTATACCAGTTTCCATGCTTAGCTGGGAAATTTAATTTCTCAGAAATAATTTTCTTTTTCCCCCGTGCCTATCTTGTCTCCTTGGTTCTCAAAAATTCTTGAGGAGACAGACTAAAGGAGTATGTCTGGGGTGGAGGGGAGAGAAGAGTATTAGATGTGAGCAGTGTCAGGGAAGGAGCTGTGACTGGAGAAAGACCCAGAGGCTCGAGGTGTGAGATGGGTAATGGGTAGGTATTTGTGTAAGAAGGTAAGTTTGAACATCAAGCGAGATGTTCAAGAGACAGGTAGAAGTCCCGGGCTAACCACAGAAGGCTGGGCTGGGCACACAGGTGTGGAAGTCACCAGGATTTTGGTAGTTACATAATATCCCCCTTACTCCGCATGCAAAATGTTCCCTGCTGGTCTTCCCACTGTCCACGCTGAGAAAGGACAACAGCTTGGTGATATGAAACCCGAGTCAACTTTGCTGAAACCTCCTGTGACCTCAAGACTGTCAGGTACATTTCAATACCTGCACAGGTGTCTTGTCAGTTAAGAATTACCATCTCCCTCTGGACAGGAGGGGGAACAGACCTGCAAGAGGTCCGACGACTTCTAAAGGACACTGTCAGGTGGAACCTGCCAGGGTTTGGGAGTGGTTTAAGGGTTAAGTATATCTTCCAAGGATTTGCGCATGGGAAGCCCAGTCCCAGGGTGGGAGAAGGTGTGGCAGCTTTAAGTGGCAGGGTTCAGTGGGCCGTTCTTCTCGCTCAATTGGAGGTGTGGCCTCAGAGCAGTTGGGTTTCCGGCCTGGGGATGCAGTCTCACCACACTCCCACTAGGATGCATCCTGGTCATGGAGGTCTCCCCAAGGCTGACCCAATGGGCCTTGGACTTGGACCTGCAGCCTGAAACCCTGAACAAAGTAACCAACCTTCTTTGCTTATGACAGGTCGGCCTGTCTCAAGGTATTTCGCCACCAGATTGAAGCATGTTCTCAACTGGACAGTGTCGGGAGAAATTGGGGCCTCCTGCTGTGCTGAGTGGGCCTGGGGTCTCAAGGGACATGGAGGACCATAGCTAGGAGACAGGCAGGTCAGGTAAAAGCGCGCCTACCCTCCAGCCCCTCCCAGGAGGCTGAGAAGGGGGGCAGCTCAGTAGAGAAAGTTCTTTCCATTTCCCAATGCCACTTTTAAGAAAAACTGTCTCAACAACAATAAAAGAAACCCAAGGAAGCTGGGTCAGCAGCTGGGACGCAGGTCACCCTGTGTTCTGTGGCAATGAATGGGGGGCGTTCTGGCAACAAGGCTTGGGCTTTCCACATTCAAAAGCCGAGAAGACAGATTTACATGGGAATAGGGGAGCATAGCCCCTGGAGGAGAGCAGGCCCTGCCCCCTGGTGCTGGGGGCCAGCTTACCTCCTTTGGCACAGGGAGAGGAAGGGGGCAGGGTGTGACCCGCAGGCCCCTAGCATCCAACAAGCCCCTGGTATTTAGCAGGTCCCCAGTGAGGCAAGGACATATTCTTTCCCACTCACACTGGAAAGTCACACTTGTGACAACAGATGGCCAGTCTGTAAGGACAACACGAGACAGTTGGTCTATGAATCTGTGTGAACCAGGTCTTGCGTGCTGCATGGCGCCAGGAGGTGGGCACTGTCCACCCCAGGTCAGCGACAGGCCTTCCTGTGAGGTTTGAGGGAGGTGTTTCCAGTCCTCTCGCACCTCCTGGTGGGGAGCTCAGGCCATCCCATGGATGTGGCAGACACCTGTCTCCTTCCCCCTCACACCTGAGACACGATCAAACACATGGGAGTCTGGCCTTGGTGCG